CCCTATTCTCATGTCTTTATCAATAGTAACCTTAGCATTTTCATGTGCCTCAATAAAACAATTAACATTCTCTCATAATTAAATGCACAAAGGCTGTCATTTCAACCTCATAATAGAGTATCTAATTATACACTTGTATATAAGGTAATATTATGCCTACAACATGGTTTTTTTTCAAAAAAAAAATCAATAAATTAAAATTTTAATTAAAAGCATATACTAACTGTGCCAGTGTACAAATTCCGCATATAGAAACACCCATATCATAAGATAATTCTCACTTTAGCAAAACATACAAATTACTTTAATTTGATGATTATTGATTAAGGAAATAATGCATTTATGGTGAAGTACGTTTATCTTAATAATGCATTTTTGCTTAATATGGGAGTTAACTTTATTTGGGGTATCAACAAAGCTGAGTTTAACATCCTAGATGTTGATAGGCAACTTTCTGTCCCTACCTATAAAATTTAACTATGGAGATATGATGTGACCCTCTATATCACTTGATTAGGTACTTAATTTTTTTTTTTTCTTCTTGCAACGTTTTAAACCATAGTTTTATTTATAAATAGTTATTATAATTGCTAATTTTAATGGCTCTTGTTTCTGTAGATGATAGACCTATCTCATTCATACTTGTTGTATTCTAATAACGTGCGTGCACGTTACTAACACGTGCACCCGACAATGTTTGTTTTATAGCTTGAAACACCTACTATTACTAGCTAAATTCACCTAGTTAGGCAGAATTAGAGACCCCAAATCAGGAATCAAATCAAACACCATCATGTTATTCACACATTTTAAATAAAAAACATATGATCATACTAGAAACTTCTTCTAATGTTGACATGAGTGATACTGAATTTAGCCTTTTCAAATAAAATTTGACTTAAGTTTTGTAGATTAAAAAGAACGATTAAGAGAATTTTTTTATTTATTAAAAATATGGGTCGATTATTTTAATAGAGATTAATCATTGAAAAAAATCAAAATTTTCATTTTAATAATAAATTATATATAAAAAATTAATTGTAAAGATATTGAAATTTATTTAAAAGATTAATATTCGTAATAGATAGTTTTTTCATACAAACATCTAGAAAACATTGTTTATAACTTTGTAAGAAATAAAATTATCTATCAAATGTGATATAATTTATTAATTATATCATAATGATAATTTTTATATACATTTACATTATCTTTAATTACCATATAAAACTATTTAAATCAAAATTTTCAAGTAATAAATAAATATAAATTAGATAATTTAAAGGCTTCTAATTTTCAAATATTTGGACAAAATTAATCATACGATATTTATATGAATTTCAACTGATTTGGAGAATCCTCAAGACAGGCAGAAGAATTTCTCCTCAGCTCTGTATTCATCTTTTCTTCTGCACTTTGTACTAATTTATTTGAAAAAAATAAAAATAGCTAATTTTTTTTTTTTAATTTTGTTCTTTTTATAACACACCCAATATGAGAGGTGACATTTGTCATACAAAAGGTGATATATGCACTGACAAATTAACAACGATGAAAAAGTCACAAAAAATAATACGTAGAGGTTTATTTATTAGCATATAAAAGCTCACCTGTACAGGTAATTGAAGTATAGTGTCAGTATCTTTATTCGATGCACATGTAGTAACTTCGTAAAGTAATTTCGGTACAAATTTCATTCAGAACCACTCTAGCTACCTACTACCATTTCTCACCATGTCAATAATTCATCTGAGTTCATTAAAAAAAAAAAAAACTTCTTATCATGATAATCACAATATTTTAGAATGGCAAAGGAAACACTGCTATGGAAGATAAATAAAATAATTTGAATTTCATCAATGATGAGGTTCTGTATAAGTGCAGAATGTGATCTTTTGGTACTTTGGTAGTTGTAACCAAAGAAAATATCTGTTGGTGCTCTCTATGGTGTTCAGGGACCATAGTTATTGCATTACAAAGGATACAATAAATGTGGCATTCTATAGTTATTTTGATGCCACTACTGGGAAAAATTTAATGATCAGCATCTAGTGTGGTATGGGAGAAAGATAAGATGCAAAGGTCAACTCTTGATTAAGGGGAAAGCTTGAGCACACAAAGCAAGGAATTGAATCTCCACCCAATAAAGTTCTCTTAGACTACTGCTATCTTCATTGAACATGAATTGTATTTTTCTTCATAATAAATATAAGTCACTGTATTTAACTATCCTTTAGTCTTAAGTTTTTGTTTTATTAATTTTTCCCTTTATGATTGTTTATCACTAATAGTTTTTCTTTAAATTTAGATTAAATTAATTTATAAAACATTATAATAACAATTAAAATTATGATCAGTGAGCTAAATTAAGTAGACATTCTATCTGGACTCAA